TTCATTGAATTTTCATTTTGTTTATGTAAGAACCCATAATAATTCATTGAATCCACATTTTAGCTTAAAGTGATATTGTTTATTCCACATTTCAATCTACTTGAGTACTTTGATGTAAAGTACTCATATTATCCAAAATGGCATCGCTAGAATGAAATATATTTTGCCTCATACGAAAGCTTGATGGAGGAAGACAGATACGTACTTTTCGAAGCAGTTCAATACAATTTTTTCATATAGTCGTACCAGTTCCACTTGGATTGGTGCATGAGAAGGAAATTCAGTAATATTTTTGCGTATTTCTTATACCGTAGCAGTTTCATTGAATAGTTGTTGTTGTTTTCAATGATTCATTCCAAATGAACAACAATGAACAACAATATACTGAATATATTTGAAGTTTTTGGCTTTCTGCTAACTCCATCTTGATACAAAAAACAAGGATGAGGAAATCTTCCAAGGAAAGGAAAGAAGTAATCAATTTTAAAATAAGTCACTCTATACATGGATGTGTAGATCATGCAAAGAAGTAACTTTCAGACACAAACTGAAATTTTGTTTTATGAGAGAGAGGACATTGTTAGATCAAGATCTTCAGATGATGTGGTGCTGCAGGTTTTTCCGGGTTTTCCTGCAGCTGAAAAAGCAAATGCGCTACTGGAATCAATGAAGTCGCCCCGGAGCGCCAATTAATTTTTATTGTTGTATTTATTTTATTTTTATCGTTGTTTCAACACATTGTAATCTACTTGAGTACTTTGATATAAAGTACTCATATTATCTAAAATGGCATCGCTAGAATGAAATATATTTTGTCTCATACGAAAGCATATATAGTCGTACCAGTTCGACTTGGATTGGTGCATGAGAGGAAAATTCAGTAGTATTTTTGCGCATTTCTTATACCGTAGCAGTTTCCTTGAATAGTTGTTGTTGTTTTTAGTGATACGATCCAAATGAACAACAATATACTGAATATATTTGAAGGGTTTCCCACAAAAACAGCTCCAATTCATCAATAAATTGTTGTACATCAGAGTATTTATACGATTCCATGTTTCTTTTTGTTGATAGGCAAACTTATTGAATTCTGGTACCAAATGATATTTCAATTTTGAAAATATGTCATATTCAGGATAGTAGTAGACAAATTTGAGATTGTGATACGCAAGGATCTATTCTTGCCGATGATTTTCAATTGTATCAAACATTTCACCACCATGATTCTATGATAGCACAAGAGTCAAAAATATGGCGTTTTAGCTGAATACAGAACTATGGTTGGAATAGTTTATGAAACATTTTTTTAGATGCCAATATCGTGTATGGACTATAATACTTCGAAACAGGATATTTGGATATTTGCGAAAACCATTCATCAAAATTGCTTTACTTACATTCACCAATGGAAGTTATCAACCTAAAAACGTGAAATATTTTGAGTGGATTCACGTTTTTTCTTCTTCTGAAGAGGATAACTTCATAAATATTGGGACATCTGGTAAGTCCGTCTGGTGAGAGAAGAATATGGGACATGTTTCCAAAACACAAAATATTTTTTTCATGTAATTCAATGTTTATATGAAAGCAGCTTTTCGAAAGGACTTTTCTTTCAGTTTGTTTTTGAAAGTTATTTCTTTGGAAGATTTACACATCTTTGTATAGAGTAAACTTTTTGAAAAAATTGCTACTTTCCTTTCTTTGGAATACTTCCACACATTTTTTTGTATGAAGATGGAAAAATGAAAAGGCAGAGCCTGTTTTTCCCAAAAATCTCTCCTGAAAATAAACCCCTTTCAATTCAAACATTGATTTCGTTGTCAAATCTTATCATCAGACATCAGACATCATTTCCATCATTCCCAAAACTAACTCTATCAAAAAGAGTGATATCAGATTTTTGTTATATTATATAAAAATATTTTTTATGTGGAAAAATGCTTACTCAAGAGAATTGATGAGACTCATATTGTTCATAACGTAGACTACTATGATTTTTCAAAGTAACGATAGATAAAAACTATTTCAAGTTGATAAAATTGACGAAACCAGAAGAAAGTGTAGAATGATGGTAGAAGATCCTGAATATTCCACATAATTTATGAACATGTGAAAAAATCCGTAATGACGTTCAAATGCGATTCTATCATAATTTCTTCATTGCCCTTCATCCCCTATCAAGTTTTCACTTCATTAATCAATTCAGTTTCCACAAATTCCACTATCTGACCGAAAATGATTTCTCATCGTTATTCGAAATTATTGGAGAAAATTTCACTTGTCTCAGTAATTCTCGCTCAAATCTGCTGTGCAATCTTTACCCACGACTGCTCAATCTGTTGATCCACCCGCGAATTATATCAGATCCACAAGCGTCAAAATGAGGCCAATTAGGAAAAGTAAACACCGCGCTGACAGAGTCGGACTGGCGCCTCGAGCGTTTCAACGTTTACACATCATTTATGATTTTGAATTATATCGGCTGCGAATGCAGCTTTGAAGTAAATCGCTAACAGGATGATGAATGGATTCGTTTGTGGTCGTTTGCGAAAGACATCCTTTGAGGTTTTTTTTTCAAAAAAAAGGTGCGGTTTGAGATAGTTTGTTGAAGTTGTTTGAAATATCAGATTGCGAAATTGAAATCGTTAGTTTTTTTCTTCAAAACAACGTCTCTCTATTGGAAAATACGAAATTATTTCAAACTTTCCATTTTTATTCATTGAGAAGGTAACAGTTTTCAGAATGAAAAGGTTTCAGAATAGGTATGTAACGTTTTTGACTCTCTATGGATGAATCAACAGAAATCTAATGAAATTGAACTTGTTTTATTATCAACTGAAAATACATCATTATTCCAGGAACAAAATAATTCATAAAACAATATATAAACTTTGTTTATATAATTAATGTATCTTCTCTGAAGTATGCTGTTTAGCAAACACCAATTGAAACACAGTTAGCCTCACTAACGGTAAGTTACGTCTTTCTTATTATTAATATTATTGTAAATGCTGTTCTGAAGAAAAAAAACGCCAGTCGCCACTAGTAGCCATAAACCAATTGTGACGTAGCTGAGAGCACGTGAATATACGATATTCTCTGCCGCTCTAGATGTAGCGAGAATAATGCTACCGACTTCGATGGAATTCCAGAGAAATTTTCTACCGCATTCGATTACGATATACAGGGTGTAACTGAACAAGTGTAAGACATTCAAGGACGTTAAAAGATAGGATCTTTCATATAAATGAACTTCATTGGAGCATCTCTTGTTAAGATACAGCCCCTTAAAGGGGGTACATAAAATTTGTATAACATTTTTTTTCACAAGCACTGAAAAAGTTACAATATTGAAATTAACCTGACGTTTCGTACTACCAAAAAGACACTTATCCAGTAATTTATTTGGTTTACCCCATGGCTGTATTACTAACTACAAAATAACAATAAATCCAGTTCGCATTTATGACGATGTATCTCTGTAGCTGTTCCTAAAATAATTTTTTGCTGCGTACTGGTTTATTTTGGACAAAAAACCCAAGAGACATTTTTGTTAAGAATGGAACAGGCTATCGGAAATAAATTTTTAAATGGTAAACAAATAATAAGACAAAAAGTTGAATTGGAAATAAATTTTAGGGGTTGCGTTTTCCACCCCTTACAACCATGGGGTGAACCAAATAAATTTCTGGCTAAGTGTCTTTTTGGTAGTACAAAACGTCAGGTTAATTTCAATATTGTAACCTTTTTAGTGCTTGTGAAAAAAATTGTTATACACATTTTATGTACCCCTTTAAGGGACTGTATCTTAACAAGGCATGCTCCAATGAACTTTCTTTATTTGAAAGATCCTATCTTTTTTTCGATGAGGAATTATATCCTTAAATGTTTTACACTTATTTAGTTACACCCTGTATGAACGCTAGTCACGAGCATATCGACACGGTCAAGTGTAAGTTACAATGCGGTACGTGAAGCGATCTAGTAAGGCGATAGACATTTGAATAATAGTTTTAGTTGAAGTGTTTGTTGTATTCAAAGTGAAAAAAATCAAGTTTCATTATTAAGTGTAGTCAATAATTGATCAACACACGGGAAAAAACGTAACAATTTTTTGTTTTCATTATATATAATAAAGTAGCTTTGTTCTGATTAGGATAATGAAAATTATCAGAATATTGGGATACCATGTGGTATAAGAGTACACTTCCGTATTGCTACTCACCCAAATAATGTCACAGTTTTGCTCTTGACTGGTCAACAAAGACCACCCTTAAAATAACTTTCATTTTTCAATGTCAATAGTTGTTACGATAGAAAATTTAGCACATATATCCCATCTGAGGAATTTTGTGTTGTTTCTGTTGAAAACACCATATAATCTGAAATCTCACCAAAAATGTTAATATTGAAACCGAAGAAAGTTTAAAATAGTTTCTGAAACCAATTGTTTTTTTCATGAAAAGTATTCCGTTATATTTGAAACGTCTGCAATAAAATGCTTCAAAAGTTCAAACTTCAATCATTAAAAAAAGTGGCTGAAATGTTTTTTGGCAAATTTCCAACAATTGTGCTGTTAATACCATTCAGGCTGTCCTTTTGTGTTGGAAAAAATATGTTTTTCCGATAACTCCCCGATTGACAACCCTCAGAAGTCCAAACTACTGTGAACTGAGGATTAACGAGACCTTACCTCTCAGTTGAGATTAAATGAAACCTTCACATAGTGGCTACTAGCTGATGACCATATGTTCGAAAGATATACGCGCTGATATGTCTTCCAAGAAGCTTCACTAAGGTCGGAAGGATATAATCACCAGTTACTGTAACAATATCACTTGTCTGAATGATTTGTTGGAATTATTCACAATATTAATGCTGTGTTATACCAATAGATATATTATGCAAGACGTATGTCCTCTTTAAGGTTCTGTTCTGGTGGCATCAAAAATTATTATCATTATTATTATCATGTTATTGTGCTGAAATTGAACTACAGATGACCATTGAAAATATTATATTTTCAGAGATGAGGAATATGAAAACAGTTTCTCATAAACAAATGAAACAAAATCCAATTTTTCTTTGGTATTATTCAACTTCATCAATAATTGGTCCATCGTTTTCTTGAGATGGAAATTGTCTCTCATTCTGGGAGGAAGCTCCAGAGTATAGACCGATGACAATAGGCTTGCAAACGTTTTCAATCTCTTGCTTTTTCATCACATATTCTCTTTCCGTAATGTTCTCATTGGAATTCATCCAGTTCGTTATATCACTACATAACTTGGAAATTTTTGTTTTATCAGCATCTCTGATTCTTGATCCAGCATTGGGATCGTTCAACAGGGTTGTCATCTGGTAGATATATCTGTAGAAATGCTGAGTTTATATTCGTTGTTAGATTTCAATGTTCACTTTGAGTCCAAAAACAAAAAAATGGGGACATTTTGAAGATTTTATGTGAAAAATCATCGGACGTGAATTTTTTTTGATAATAACACCTGAAAGATATTGAGGAAAGAGGTTTTTTGAATAAAAATTCTCTAAACACATAAATAGTAAGTGAGAATTTTCACTAACAACAGTATTCATTATTAATTGTCAAACTCAGATAATATGTAATACTTAATTACAATGAAAAATGTTAAATTCCAAAAAACAGGGTTCATACAATTTGACGACCGATTTGATATGTAATTGAATGAAATAATATTCATCAGTTTTTGAAAATTTTAATAGATTACTCACGACTCTAAATCATTTCTGGCAGCCACAGCAGCTTTCACTTCTAGATCATGCTCTTTGAACTTCTCGGCATCGGCAATCATTTTTTGTATCTGTTCTTTGGTTAATCTTCCTTTGTCGTTGGTAATTGTGATATTAGTTTTTTTTCCCGTGATTCCTTCAGATGCGGTAACTGTCAGGATTCCGTTTGCATCGATATCAAAAGAAACTTCGATTTGTGGTACTCCTCGAGGAGCAGGGGGAAAACCTTGAGAATAAAACGATACCAGTATTTTCAAATTATGATAATGATGTCTCAGTCAATCAGAAAAATAACAAGATGTAGGTCAGTAGAAAATATGTACAAGTGTAATGAAGGACAAACAGAAAAGTTGGTCTCAAAAAGTTACGGCGACATATTTTCTTAAGGAAAAGTCCAATTCAGTCGTTATTTCAGGGTGACATCATCCACGACATGTGATTTTATCGCTATCTACACCGTAGCTGCATAATAGATCCGACCCAAACACCAAAGTGCCTGGGGCTCAATTAATTCCAACGCAGCTCGACTGCATTCATGAAACCTTCGTCTAAAAGAAAGATTGTTCACTAGTAGTTGTCCCAACTTGTGGGGCTGTACAAGTCCTTTTCATGTCTTGTCCAAGTCCTTTCCATGCCCTGTCCAAGTCCTTTCCATTTCCTGTCCATGTCCTGTTCATATCCTGTCCATGTCCTGTTCATATCCTGTCCATGTCCTGTCCATGTCCTGTCCATGTCCTGTCCATGTCCTGTCCATGTCATGTCCATGTCCATGTCCATGTCCTGTCCATGTCCTGTCCATGTCCTGTCCATGTCCTGTCCATGTCCTGTCCATGTCCTGTCCATGCCATTACCTATCCTGTCCATGACCTTCTATGTCCTGTCTATGATGGCCTGTCCATGCCACGTCCATGTACTGTCCATTTTCTGTTCATGTCCTGTCCATGTCCTGTCCATGTCCTGTCCTGTCCTGTCCATGTCCTGTCCATGTCCTGTCCATGTCCTGTCAATGTCCTGTCCATGTCCTGCCCATTGCCTATCCTGTCCATGACATTCCATGTCCTGTCTATGGCCTGTCCATGCCCTGTCCATGTACTATCCATTTTCTGTTCATGTCCTGTCCATGTCCTGTCTATGTTATGCCCATGTCACGTCTATGTCCTGTCCATGTCCTATCCATATCCTGCCCATGTCCTGTCTATGTCCAGGAAATGCACTTACATGGAACACTGCCATCCTCAGTGGCACTGAGTAGTGTAGAACTCCTGTGAATACAAACTTAGTGCAGAAAGGTTTTTTTTGTATAATTCAGTGTTCTTATAAAAGTATTTGTTTCGAAAGAATTGTTACCTTCCGTGTAATTCAATGTTTATATAGAAGTAGCTTGTTTCAGGAGATCTTTCTCTTTCAGTTTGTGTCTGAAAGTTACTTCTTTGCATTATCTACGCATCTATGTATAGAGTAACTTATTTTAACATTGATTACTTCCTTTCTTCCTTTGGAAGATTCCAACATGGAGTAGTAGAAACCCAAAAACTTTCCAATTTTTTTTATTATCTCAATATTTTTTAAGTATATATTTTATTGAAATATCTACCCCGAATGACGAATTGCACGAAAATTTTGATGAGATATTCTTGCAAATATTGAAAAAATTAAAAGAAAATGATTTGAAAGACCACTCGTATGATATCAGAAATGAAAATATTACAAGAAATATGAGACAAACAGAATGATAGGAAAACTAAAGTATTGATACATGCTCTATAATTTTTCTGACAGAATTGCTGATAAAATAAGAAACTGATTCTTTGTAGTCATTCTGGAAATACATGCAATAAAGCATAACTGGAACTTCTGAAGTTTCCTCAACTTCAGATGATGTTGTGCTGCAGGTTTGTCCAGGTTTTTCTGCAGCTGAAAAAGCAAATGCGCCACTGGAATCAATAAAGTCGCCCCGGAGCGCCAATTAATTTTTATTGTTGTTTTATAATTTCATGATTTGTATTTTGGAAGTACTTCAAATAAAATTTTGTCGAATTCTTGTTAACAATCACCAACTAGAAATGAATAATCATACATTATCTGACAACTACGTAATTTCAGTAACTTGTTGCAACTAACTGTTTATATTTTCTTGTGAAACAAATGAATGAATTATATTTTTATCATCATTGTGTACTGTTTTACATTTCATCAAAAACTTTCCAACGATATAATGTTAATAATTCCTATTCGTTTGTGAGTTTTCCACCGTTTCAACAGGTTAAAATATATAAAATAAATAAGCAGGTATCTCTCACCTGATAAATCAAACTTTCCTAACAAATTGTTATCTTTCGTGAGAGACCTCTCTCCTTCGAAAACTTGAATCAATACTCCTGGTTGATTGTCGGCGTAGGTAGAGAATATCTGAGTGTGCCTGGCTGGAATCGTCGTATTTCTTTTTATCAAAACAGTCATAACGCCTCCTGCTGTTTCAATTCCTGTAGCAAATTATTGTGTTTTCGAATGAAGGATTGAAAAATCGTACGACGTAGATATACCTAATGAAAGAGGAGTCACGTCCAATAGAAGTAGATCTTTGACGACTTCAGAGTTATCGCCTGCCAAAATGGCCGCCTGTACTGCTGCTCCGTAAGCTACAGCTTCGTCAGGGTTTATCGACTTGTTCAACTCCTTTCCTATCAAAAAACACTTAATTTCATGGATTATTCTGAATAAAATATTTTCATCGACGATTATCATTGGTATGTGTTACTTGCCTTGGAAATTATTCGACAATAACGATTGAATTTTAGGAATTCTTGTACACCCTCCAACGAGGACTATATCATTCAGTTGGTTCTTGTTGATCTTGGCATCTTTCAGAGCTTTTTCCAAGGGCTCCAAAGTTCTCATGAAGATATCGTTGTTGATCTATTGATAAAAAACACGGTTGAGAATCGCGTCCTGAACGTATTTTCGAAAATTTCATATTCACAAAAATTGATATCTATTAGTAGATTGTAACTTTATGGAAATTTCGTTTCAAGCCTTTGACAATCAAAAATCCGATGAAATAGCCATTGTTCATCCCCCAGCTGAGATTAAACGATCTTTTTCTATAAAGATCATGACAGTAATAGGTTTGCAAGGAAGTCAGGATCCTGTTTTCACGTAACACTTCACAAAGCTCTCGATTTTTTCATGTAGATGCATATTACTGAGCTTCGATGTAAGTTTTTATTGAATAGGTTCCAAATCTTCGAACAAGTTGTGGTAACCTAGGTCAGTGCCAAATACCATGTTCATCTGCTGCTCTTACAGAACAGGCCCTGAATATTCAATGAAGTTGTGATAATTTGTGTTAATACTGACTATATTTCCACGTGAAATGATGACCATTCATTATCATTGATATTATTATCATTATTTGAACCTTAGATTGTGCTGGTCGGGCCCTATCTCCCGAAACCCCGTTCCCGAAATCCCCATTCAGGAGAGTACGCTAGTAGTATCAACCAACGACCACCTCCCAGACCATGGGGCAAGTGGTTATTGGGTCCAAGAATCATGTGCCCTGACCAAGCGCAGTGAGCTAAGAATGACAGCCTCAGTCAGGCTTATGTCGTAGGACACTGAGAACGCATACGCTGGACATGCTGACATTAAGAGCATTTGGGTCTGATCACGCGACTGCGGTAGACTGGGTTGTTGAAGACACCATCGTAGCAAACCATGATGAACTCTTCAGTTTCCGACTTCAGCTTTGATAAGCCAAGGTTTTCAATGTTGTTGAAGAAGACCCCTTGCATTGGCTCATCCTTGTGTTGCCGCAGGAGTGGAATACGCTTATGCCGCTTTTTTGTGGGCCTTTTACTGAACGAGTCTCAACTCGGTGACAGAGTTGTGATAACCTTGTTCAGTGTCGAAAATTAAAGCGAGTTTACCAGCTGCTTGATCAGCTGCTTTCTGAAGGGAATGCTTCAATTCCTGCTCTTTCATGATCGCAGACCATACAGAGACGGGAATCCGAACTCTTGACGACTTCACAGGCTTCATCCAGTACCATTCTGCCATGTTTACACTCTAAACTCAAAAGTCCACAACCTCCCTGTTGTCGGGGGAAGTACAACAGTGGAATGGACGATTTAGAATGTAAACTTCTATGGAGGTGCATCATTTTTCGAGTCTTTGTGTAGAGTGGTATCAGTTGTTCAATGCATCTCACTAGTTCGTCAAGTACCGCAAGGCATCTGAGCAAATACATAAGATGTTGTATCAAATGCCTTGCGGTAATCGATCCAGGCCATAAAGAGGTTGCGCTTATACTGTATCGTGTCCTACACATCAGCGACCCCTATCTTCGAGGAGACGCGCCGCTGGTTGTATGTAATTAAATATCATCACTATAATTTAATGTTAATACTATCATCATTATTACTTTCTCTTGATTACCATGTTCGACTATTCTTTTCACGATTCAGATCAAATTCACTCTGATCCCGAAACCGTCTTTTCTAGATGAATCAGATGCTCTTTATTCAAAAACACATGAACATCTGAGGATGCGAAAATCCATTCCAATCGGGATATTTCAACAAAACAAGCGCTTTCCTGCATCCAATTCTTATCAGTCAAAAGCCGACTACAACTACGAATTCAATCAGACCGATTGCGGACCGCAAAAAAACAACACTAAAACAATTACCTCCTCGAATTTAGCCCTGGTAATCCCGGTATAAAGGTCCACTCCGTCCGATAAAGAGTCGATTTCAATCGAGGCCTGATTCGCCGACGACAACGTCCTTTTGGCCCTTTCGCAGGCGGTTTGTAATCTCCTCAGGGCGCGCTTATTGTTTTTAATGTCGATTTTGGTTTTCCTTTTGAATTCTTCGGTGAGGTATTGGACCATGCGGTTGTCGATGTCTTCGCCACCTGGAACGGAAAATTAACTGGATTCTCTGAGAGCCGATGAATGGTTCAGATGGTGCGGTAATTCTAATTCGATTCGACTGAGATTGGGAGCGGGGTATCTAGATCGAGTTGGAAATTGGGAATTTTGAGAAAGAAAGGTTTTGACTTTGAACTTTTCTGTCAAAAAATGTGTAAATCTTTCGAAAAAAAGAGGGAAACAATTGCTTTCAAAATAAACTCTTTATAAAGATGTGTAGATCATGCAAATCACTCTTTTCAAAAAGTGTTTTGTCTCATTTTGTAGCTCTTTTGTATAATTTACAAATTTTTGTGAGGAGTTAGTTTTTAAAATAATTTTGTTTTTTCGCTTTCGCCTATCCCCTCTACCCTTTTTCCGCTTCACCGGTTCAGTGGAAGTTGACCGTATTTTACTGTATTAGCATGACTGGATTCCAAGCTGAGATCATTCATAGGAAGGAACACTGGTTTAACAGGAAGTTCAAAGAAGCTGCATATATGTTATATTTTATTCATTTTCCAGGTACAAATTTAATGCGAAATCAAATTTCAAATGAATCCATTAATGAAACAAACTCTCATATATTGCGAATTTTATGTGTAACAATAATAAAATTGAGTAGTGAACATAAGGATTCAATGGATTAGAGAGTACACATTAAAATATTGGAAGTAACCTATTACGAAAGATAGATCGCGTTTCACTACTTTATTCATTAATGAATAGAAGTAAAAGTAATAGAAGTAAAAATAATAAAAATGTGAATTAAAAAAAAATATATGAATAGATTTTTGAAAAGATGCCTCATCGGTTATCTCACCTAAATGCGTGTCTCCAGCCGTCGACTTAACCTCGAAAATTCCGGCAGAGATGAGCAGAATCGAAACGTCGAAGGTACCGCCGCCCAAATCAAAAATCAAAACGTATCTGTCATCCTCGCTTTTTTTGTCCAACCCGTACGCTATAGCCGCGGCGGTTGGTTCGTTGATTATTCGCTGGACGTCCAGACCGGCGATTGTGCCGGCATCTTTTGTCGCCTGTCTGAAAAATGAGCGATGCGCGGTTAATTGATCGTTCTGTGAACTCTCAAGGTTAAGAGTTGATGGATGTTCCGTGTGCTTGATTTTCAATCTGAGGAAGACAATATTGGAGAGTTGTCACTTGAGCTGAGTGAAATAGTGGGGTTTCAATGACGAAGCAGTGAACAAATGTTGAATCATTCGGTCATCTGAAATGTGTGAAGTTCGATAACAGAATCAAATATATAAAAATAACTAGGGACCCGCCACGGCTGCCTGCATTTCAAATCTGTAATATCTTTGAAAATATTAATCCTTATTACATGCTGTGAAGGACCATATTGATCTATATTGAATGCATAACGCATTCAAGGTACTTGATTGTATAAGGATTGATGCTGTATTGCTCAAAATCGCTTCGTAAATAAGTCAGTATTTCTCGTAAAAAGCAGGGGATAAAAAATTATTAATGTGGATTATCCCTAAGAGATGAACATATTACCATCGCGGACTATTTTGTAGACCTTTTAAGGTGTACAATACTGTAATACAGCGTTTGCAATGTAAGCCCAAAAAAATGTGTTTATTTACGACATCACATTACTGATATTATCATTATTTCACTAGTATATTATGCATTTTATATACATATAAACCTTTCTCTTAAATCACTCTATCTATTGGAAAAACAAGCATAAAAATTCATTGTGTATATGAAGACAGATAGCGGATAGCGACTGAGAAATCGAGAATGGTTTTCATTTATGATTTTTTGAATGTGACACCTCGTTAAAAAAATTACAAAATTTGGACATTGATGTTAGAGGTGACGATCTATCGAATGTCAGACTGTAATGACAAGAATGAGAAACAAAACAAAACAAGGAGACAAGATATCTCAAAGTGATCAAACGAAGTATTCATATAATTTTCAACGTATTTCAAATTATCTACGAAATTGATCAATCTGTAGAAAATACATGTAACTTATATTTCTATTATCTGTTCTCTCGTCGGGTTACAGGATATATTTCCTATGTTCAAAACTTTCGTTTTTTCGAATTCAATTTTGTGTCCTGTTCTTTGATATTTCAAATAAAAAAAAGTTGAACGCTGTACATATAGTTCATTAGAATATTTTGAGATAGAAATCTTTTCCATAATCTTTGGACATAACATCACCGATGTCATATATTCCAAAGTTTTACAGTACTAACCATCAATGTCTGAATTTTGTGAACTTTGTATAAATAGAATGAGTTTGTTTTTCGAAAGAATATTCGACTATAAATCCCGTAAGTTATGAAATTGAAAATGGTAGATAAAATACAAATCACGATCTGATTTTTCTATTACTTTCTATTTCGCAATTTCAGTTAACTCTTAACGGATGGCCTGATTATTATTTTTCAGTTCTCGTCGCGGATTTGTTCCATGATACACTTTGGCCCCTACTATTTTGATTTTTTTTCTTCGTCATGCGATAGAATTCGTTCAAGGTTTCGAAATTTTTTCCTCTGATACTACAACCGTAACTCGTATCAATAAGCCAGGGCATTATACTCATGAGTATTATTTCGAACTATATAAACTACTTAACTTATCAAAGGCAAGCTTGCACTGTTTTCTGTAGCAAAGTAAATGGAAACCATAAAAATAAAATGGTCATAATCTGAACATTTGTTTCGAAGCTACGCGTGAATAAACATATATGTATATTATACAAATATACACCTACAAAATTTTTGTAGTTCACATGTTATTACACACAAACATGTCGAATTGATAACATCCTTTTTTAAAGTGGGTAAAAGTTCTCTTCCCAACTAAAATATTTATTTTGGCAAAAAAATAATGAATGAATATGATTTCTATTCGAACTGAAATTCAGTCGACTCAAATTTTATGAGAATGATGACTAAATGAGAATTTAACTTTACAAACATGTCATATAAACTCAAAATTTTGGGTCCATTTTGGTGGACACTTTTTCATCATAAAGTGAGTTCTACTAGCTTTGGCATGAACTTATTCATAATATTGATCAATTTCATTGCGAAATGTTATTCAACTGCAATCTCTTACCGTTGTGAATCATTAAAATATGCAGGGACTGTAATAACAGCCTTGGAGACGTGGGTTCCTAGGTAATTTTCAGCAATCTCCTTCATTTTCCCCAGCACCATCGAAGAAATTTCTTCAGGAAAAAAAGTCTTCATTTCGTTTTTATACTTGACGCGTATCTTTGGTTTGCCTTTATCTTGGATTACTTCGAAAGGCCAATGCTGCATGTCTTGTTTCACAACTGGATCGTCAAATTTTCTGCCTATAAAAATAGTTTCAACATTAGTTGGGCGAAGATATGGTGCAATATTAGCAAAAAAGAAAAGAAAAATTGGTTTTCGGTAGAGCTGAACATAGGTCAAAGCAAGTAAAAAGAAATTGAATGATATTTCAAAAATGAATTGGTCAGTTGGCTTCACAGTTTTTGCAAGTGCTATTGAAGATATTACTTGCTCACCAATTAATCTCTTGGCATCGTATACAGTATTTGTGGGATTCATCGCCACTTGTCCTAGTGCTGGTTCACCAATCAATCTTTCCACGTCTGTGAAGGCGACATAACTAGGAGTTGTACGATTTCCCTGGTCATTGGTTATGATGTCCACAATTCCTGAAATTTCAAATTTGTGGTACCCTACATCTCAAAAGAAACTGAAATGACAAGACGATAACTTTGTTCAAAAATATTCCTATGAAAAATGACTAAAGTAAATGTACGCACCATTTTTGAATACTGCTACACAGGAATACGTAGTACCAAGATCAATTCCCAAGGGAAGTCCTTTAACATTAGCAGTGGCCATCAACTGAATTTACTAATGAATTTACTGCAGATTTTGAAAATGTGATGATGATGTGGATTCAGACGAACTTGATGATGATGATTTTGAAATGTCAGGTAGGTTGTCATGAAACTTCAATTTTAAATTTCTTTCTTGGTTATGTGATATTTGGTTACACATGATATTTGCACAGAACACTTTAGAGAAGAAACATTCAATTGACGGTACTTTGATGTTGAGAGATAAAGTTTCTGTGATATATATTCTGTGTTGAATGTGTTCAATATCAGTTTTCAGCGGTAAATTGAAGTTGTTCAAAATTTTCGAATATATTCATTAACGATCGAGAAATTATCATGATATCATTCGGCAGGTTGTTGGTTCCAAATTTCAACCAATCCAGCTTTGTTGAACCATGTTTATGTTCAACAAAAATTTCACGAATGTCACAGGTTGACAATATTGCTGAAAATTTCGTCGATATAGACGAAATGAATCGTGGCCACTGTAATAACATCCAAGGAGCATACGAACGATGAAAATTTTATTTGTGGTAACGAAATCGTAGCAATAATCACGGCTAATGAATGAATTTCAAAAGAATTCAATGTGACATACGAACCAAATGAGTGGAGAAACTCAGATATTAGTTTTTGATACAGTCATTCAAAACCTTTCATAACAAGTAAACGAATGGGCGATTTTGAATAATGCCTTTGTGATATGTCATGTTCTGTGTAGATACTTTCTCTACACAACAATGGCTTTCGACGTAGAACAAAGTAACAAAACAACTTCATGTACAACACATTTGTATGGACTCACGTTGAATAGATCCCGTTCCTTCTCAAATTCTATTTTCTTTCATCGATGTCTCTGCAATTGATTGATATGATAGAGATACATTTGATATATAAATGGTAGAAGAGAGAAAAACAAATTATTCATTTTGTTCCGATAATTTCAATTCGTGTCATATACGAGTACAGAGTCATAATGAATGATGATGTATGTTTTCCATTTGGAATCAATTTCTCATTTATTTCAAAAAATAAAAACATTGAGATATCAAGCCAAAGGATGGACAATCGTTAACTGGTGTGTGCTTAGTACCATCTGTGTTAATAATATGACATTCTTCCGATACCTTTTCCATTTTTATCATTCTGGTTATCAAGTATTCCATCGACTGAGTGTTCATATCAAATTCTTTCCATATGGGAGAACATGTGGAAGACGAATCCAGGTTTTTATCTGGGTGGGACCCTATTGGTATTATGGTCCAGGAACGAAGACGCAAGAATCGAATATCAATGTAAACGATGTTATTGAAGGGGCCAGTTACAAAGTCCAGCTTCAACATCTCTGTAGCTATCACTTTGAGGCAACTGAATGAAACCGGAGCCCAAAAACAGAGTTCAAAAACAAAACCTTCATGGCTGCATTCATACTCCTGTTGATAAAAATATGATGATATGATTGAAAACACATTGCCCTTCGGATACTTGGAGTAACCGTATAAGGAACCATTCCCCACCTGCACACAATTCACGGGTGTTGATGACCATCAGGTTTCTGAAGTTGAGTTAGGCAATTATATGGATACAGATTATTGCTTGCAACGATATATCATTTCAGATATTTTTCTTCGACTATTCAAACTGTTAAATGTATTAGATCCCCAAGAACTTGTGCTGACTCCTGTTTGTATATATCAAAGACTACTCTTTTCAAAAGTAGAGCAAGTATAATTTGCTTTGAGCTTGCCTCTGAACGTATCGGAATGATACTATACTACATTTATGAAGACACCTCAGACACCTTCTCACATGAGTGCATCTTCGACGATACATAAAATTCTGCCATGCAGAGCATTTCCTGCTGATGTGATTAGTGAAATTTTATTTTTTTTCCACCTGCAAATTTGGCTCCTGCTGTTCAAGGATTCCTAACAAAGCATATTCATGAAACACATTTTTTTGAGGTCACAAAACGCTTTCTGGTTACACCAACTAGCGTCCTAGGTAACATGATAGATTTTACATGGAGAACAGTTGGGGTCATTTAGTTGACGTCTATCTTCCCTGTAGACTCGATGTTGGACTCTTCAGTTACTTCATGATCGATAAAGCCGTAACAAGGCTTTCTTCACCGTGAGAGGTAGCTAGGTTGTAGTCAGGGCACTGATGGACCCTAGATTGACTGAAATCCATGCAGAACTGAAGGAAACGGGGGCAAACATAAATCAACTGTGGGAAGGGATACTCAACAACAATTCAACATAGTATAGGACTCGATTTATTATATATTAATCATTGAAACAAAATAGGATTGTATAACGGAGGCCTCAAAAGCAGTTGATGTAATTTCCATGTCTCTTGAGAAATGGATCATAGAGATGAATGATTTGAAGGCAACCAAAACCATATACGAAATAATGAGACGAACATCCAACAGACGACAAGAATAACTCAGCACAGAAAATATAATCATTGTGATCGTGGAAAAAATGTTTCGTTTTGTTTCTCTTCAATCCCACATGTATTCATGGAGGTATCGAGTGTAAAAGTGCAGTTGGGTAACACTCTTCTCGTTACTCTAATGTACAGTTACACTCAAATATCAGTATGCACGCCACTTTTCGACGATAACAAGCGGACCTGCAACAACAACCTGGTTGAGGGAGTCGCAGTGGGTTATAATGACAAAGGACACACGCCACCTGAGCTCAACTCCTAAATCGACCGACTGCTGTAATTACGTTAAGTGGATATTCCACCTTTGTTTCAACGGGACCTGGTGCGATGCCTGGATACCTTCTTTATCATGATAATAAACGAACGGTTGAGGACAGATTAGTATTCAATGGGAAATCGGGGTTTTTTAGGTGACTAATACGGTGAAACTGAAGTAGGAGGTTGGTTGTTGATATTCCAACTTCTCCTTTGCTTACTTTTCAGTGATCTACGTATGGTTGTACCAGAATGTTTTTCAATTGTTATCTGAATATACAGTGTCACACATGAAGTCCGCAATATATAGAGGTTTTTTTAAATTTTTTATTCTGCAGTAAATTTGTTTTTGTAGAATGAATAAAAAACTGTCTCTTTCCTTTTGTCATGTCAAATTTTGAATTTTCTTCGAAATTTTCCAAAAATTAGATTTTTTTGAAAATTGAAAAAGAAGAATTTGAACTCTCTACCGTCACTTCGAACNTTTTTATTGATGAGGAGTCACCTCCTTGAATGTTTTACACTTATTTAGTTACACCCTGTATATGCTTTTTGGCATTTTTAATGAATAGAAAATTTATGTTAGGACAATTTCCCAAATGGTATTCTCCGAATGTTCTCTGTTTGCAAATGGTGTGTGCTCATACACTTTTTGTTTGAATAATCCTATGGAAAAAAGTCCATTGGAGATAAATCCGGTGATAACGGAGTTCACCGGTGATCTTTCTCCGTTATTAGATTTCGATGAAACACCGAACAGTGATATATAAAAAACTATTTTTGTATCTCCATATCTCAATAAATACTCTCAGCGCTGCTGACACAGCCTCAATGTTGTCCACCCGCAGTAATCCAGGACGAGGATTTGGGGACCCTGGTGGAGACTGACCCACTACAAACGGTGTGCGGGACGGTGAAAGAACAGGGCGTGAGCTCCCATGCGGATGTTAATGGTTGAAAAGGTCAAAAAAATAGAATAGTGGGTGCCTCCAGACTTGAAGGATCGACAGAGATTGTCTAGTTACTTTTTGCTGTTGCTTTTGTGCAACCAAAACAATCCGTTTTTGAATCAGTCCGTCACGTACGATAAAATGTGGATCCTCTATAACGTAAACAGACGTAAGAGTGACAGTGACAGTGGATGGACACCGATGAGCCACCGAGATACTTCCCAAGAACGAAAACCCACTTAAAAAAGACTATGGTTACTGTATACTGGTCAGCGGCTGTAGTGAAATGTACCGAAAATTTCGTCAGCAGTAGCCGTCACTTGTCAACAGAAAAAATCCGATCCTGCACCTCCACAACGTCCGCACGTTTCACAAATCTCCGTCCGAAAATTAAACAAATTGAGCGTAGAGATTCTGTCTCACTACCTTAACTCTCGATTACCATCTTTTCAAACACTTCTTACCGGTAGAATTTTCGCCAATCAGGACCAGGCAAAAACGGCCTTCGTCGACTCCATTCAATCCCGAGCACACAATTTCAATGGTGATGAAATAAATCGACTTTGTTACGTTGGCAAAAGTGTAATGATTGAAATGGGGCTCATTTTTGTACAATTGAGTGAGTATTCATTTTTAGTAGACTCATGAAAACGGACAAAACTTTTGAAACAATCTAATGGTATTCGACAAAACTATTTCCTATACTCCGTCATGCAAACACCTGTAGAGTGCAATCATTCCACAAAACAAGCGTCTCATCTGGATGTACCTTATCTCGCCACTTTAATCCGACATAGAAACTAGCATGACAGATCATTTGTTTTCCACCTGTAGCAATGCGACATCTTCCTAGCAGATTGAGACCAAGATGTACCTTGTTTAGGTAGACAAGCTGATCTTTTGTTTTGTCCATTACAATTGACGGTCTCAACCAAAGACATTCCTAAGACGCTGGGTCTTGGAACAATACGAATAATTGAGAGAATGAAGTTGCAGGCAGTCTGAGATGAATTTATCCTGGATTCTATGCTGAGGACATTGGGTTTACCTTTCGGTTTTGTAGGGTGTTTGTACTCGTATACGAGGTGTATTGAACTCTGTTGGAAAATATAATACTTTTTTGGAAAAAATTATCGTTTGAATGTTTCTTTTTCTCATAAATGTTTACTGGGAAACCAAGATTTTTGTTTGATCAATATTTCCCTGAGTACGACGTTCTCTAAAACTTCTATTTCATAAGTACGTTTCAAATATTCAATGATCAACTTTCTACATGTTATGCACTGTTTGGAACCTTTGGTGTAATAATGATTATTACTGGAGTTTTTCCCAACACCAAATCGTTATTTCAACACCTCGATACTTGTTTCGATCACCAAGTGATCAGTATAGAGGTCGAGGTCGATCACCCGTTTCTTCGGTATCGATATTTTTTCCAGTAGAAAAAGCGCTGAACTACTTTATGACTGTCG